TTCAGTTTGGCAGAGTTTACAGTTAACTGTCTTTGACATTTTTCTTTGAAGAGGTTTATTTACTTTTCAGGTCTTTTGTTTCTTAGCATGCAAGCTATTTCTTCTACTTTTGCCCTATTTGACAGGTTGTTTTCCCAAGCACCACTTTAGCTATTTCTGAAGTCTGTTAATACTTAGATTGTAACCCTATGATCTTAGAATAGCTTGTGTTGGAAGGACCTTTAAAATCATGTAGTTCCAACCCCCTGCTATGGCATGGACACCTCCCTCTAGACCAGGTTGCTCAAAGCCCCATCCAGCCTGGCCTTGAAAGCTTCCAGGTAGGGGGCATCCACAATCCCTCAGGACAACTGTTTGTGGGTTTTTTGCTGGAAACTCTTTCCTGGAACAAACTGAAATAGCATCATCCTTTTTGTCTTCCTCCCTTTTCATTTCAGAAGCCATTGCCGTATCTCCCCAAAAGCATTCACTTGTACTACAACAGAATTATTTGTCTTTTTTAGTAATGCTGCAATCTGAACTCTCCAGTGTGACTCAACAATTCTCTCTCATTCACTCAGTTAGTACATGTGTAATGCACTGCACTTGGTTGCTACATACTACTATTTGATCCTTTTCAGAGCACTTCAGCTTTCCAACTTTGCTGTCTGTGATCTGTAAGACTGATCAATGACATTCTTGCAATGCATCTGCACTAGACTGGAGAATTTTTTTGGCTTCTGTATACTCTTTCAATGCCTTCTGGCAGAAACTTTCAAATAGTTCTGGCATACCTAAAATCAACACTGAACAGCCTGTTTGGACTAAACCAGTTGATGCAAAATGTCCATGGCCAATGAATTTGCCCTTTCCTTCTTGCCCACCAAAAGCATGTTAAAACTTCTTACCTATTCACATGTCAAGTCTGGAAGAGTTCTGATTGGAGAAGTTTATCTTTGTTTTGTCAGGTTTTAGCTGACATTAATTCTCTTACATTCCCTGAGACTTGGAGACTCTGACAACTAAGAGTTTAGTCTTACTTTAACTGTGGGCTGTGAAGCTGTCCCTGTGTTTTTACAAGGGGTCTTATGCTTATGCCAGTGTGAGTTCTGGAAAGAGGATCCAGCACTAAGTCTTCATTAAACATAAGAATTTTTTGATCCTGTGATTCATAATCCTGAGGAAAATATGGGGGGGAAGGTTATTTGAGGAGGGATTCCAGGATACAGAATTGAAACAACTTTCAGGTGTGAATGCTCACTAGGCTGGCTGATGCAAGGAACTATTCCCCCTCCTCCCTTTTTTTTTTTTTTTCCCTCTCAGTAGTGCTCTCCATTATGGAGCTTCCCAACTGGAAGCATAATTCAGTCTCTGTGCTTCCTCAAGGACCAAGAGGTAAAAGGGGATGCAAAAAACTGAACTGCCCTGTGGTAGTTCAGTTTCACCTTGTGTTGTGGTAACTTGGTTTGTAAGTTTGACATTTGAAGGGCTCCAGTATCACACAGAATCACAGAATGGCCAGGGTTGGAAGGGACCTCAAAGATCATGAATCTCCAACCCCCCTGCCACATGCAGGGCCACCAACCTCCCCATTTAATGCTAGACCAGGCTACCCAGGGCCCTATCCAGTCTGGCTTTGAACACCTCCAGGGACGGGGCATCCACAACCTCTCTGGGCAGCCTGTTCCAGCACCTCACCACTCTCTCTGTAAAGAATTTCCCCCTGACATCCAACCTAAATCTCCCCTCCCTCAACTTAAAACCATTTCCCCTTGTCCTGCAGTTATCTACTGTTTCAAAGAGTTGATTCCTCTCCTGTTTGTAGGCTCCGTTTAGGTACTGAAATGCTGCAATGAGGTCACCCCACAGCCTTCTTTTCTCCAGGCTGAACAAGCCCAGCTCCCTCAGCCTTGTCTATGAGGTTTGATGATGTTCAAACAGATTCTCTTGGGATCCAAGGAACTCTCCAGCAGAAAATGGCAGTGATTTAGCTGTAAAAATAAATAAATGTTTTTGCAATTTTCATTAATAACATAATTTTTCCAAATTATAGTAATTTTCATAACAACAAAGTAATAACTCTAAGTAGTTGTCTGTGTATATTGTCTTTTTGCTACTACTGAGATGTAGGCTATGCAGATCTTCTGACAGTTCTGAGCCATTTATCTAGCAAATTAGGGCTATAAAATATTCTTAGGCTAAGTATTTTTTTTAACATACATTTTCAAAAAAAATTCACAAATTGAAGCACTATAGAGAAGGCGTGATTTGTTGAATTCCAGCTGATCATATCTTCAGTGAAAAGTTTGTTTGATGTCCATTTCATATTCTTGATACCATATTTTGATTGAAATAGCGTTTGGTTTTTTAGCTTCTGTTGTCTAGAAGGAAGGGAGGAAAAAAAGACTCAGTGCTCTTATACATGTTGGCCTATGCAACTCCAGAGGAAAACCCGTTCTATTTTGTCTGTACCATCCATTTGATTCATTTCACAGGAACCAATTTATCAATCTGCAGTCTATCTGGTTTTAAGCCAGTGTGGAAGGCAGAAGGAAGGAGAAACAGGTTATCCTTTAGTGTTAGTAGAGGAGAAGAGTAACCCTTATTGTTCCTGAGTGTAATATTTAAAGCCTTTTTCTTGTCAGAAGTTTGGTGACTGCAGCGGCCTTGTTATCTGCGTGTTATGAATTACTGAGGAATCTCATTTAGTGGCAAGTTAAATGTTATAACCTCCTGTAAACTATGTATGTAGATTGCTCCAAAAGCAATGCTTCCTATTTATTTTCATGGAATCTAGAACAGATACAAAGAGCACCATAACACTGTTTATAAATTCTCAGCTACAAAACACTCTTTTTCAATAGTGAACACCAACAGCTATGTGTTTTTGACCTAGTGCCACTGTCACCACTGCTGAAATGCACACCACCTAACACCTCGCTGTATTCACATCTGCTGGTTGATCTCGTTGAATGTTCAGCAAGCATCAGTGAATGTCACTGGAAACATCTTTGCTTCACATGCACTTCCATGTCAACGCCATTTTGTCGGACTGCCCCTCTGTTGCCATCTGTTGCATGGCAACAACATGTAATGAGATATTGTTGGGAAAGCTCAAGCTCTACTGCCATATCATCAACATCTGCCTCTGATGTTGCAGGACAACATAAGAAAATAGGAGACGTTACTTTTGGAGCAGTTCTTGTATGTGGTACTTCATTTACAGTCTAGTTGTGCTGAGGAGAGCTATTGTCCATGTGACATATGTTGAACATTAACTATGCTTTGGGTACAGAAGGTGGAGTGTGCACTCTGGTTTCTATTGAGTGTGTGGCATTTGAAGATAAACACGTAGGTAGTTAAAGCTGTAAAGCAAGCAGCTGGGAATAGAGTAATTGTAGGGCATCAAATCAGTATTTCCTGGTTCTGTGAGTGCCTTGTTTCTTGCCTTTTTTATTGCTTTGGAGGGTTTTCTTGTCCCTCATTAGAGGAGAATCATTTTTAATTCTTCTGTACTTTGGCTTGGCTTTTTTTGACTGAATAGTGAATTTACTGTGTGTGAGAAAACATGTTCTGGATATGTTTTTAGCAAATTTTTGTTTTTGTTTATAGCTATTATTGGACATCTGAAATCTGTGACTTCTTTGTAATGTATTGCTTTAAGATATTATCTTCTCATCTGCTTTCAGTAGTTTGTTGAAGTTTGATTGTCTGTTTTTGACTTCTTGCTCCCCCACTTTAAAATAACAAAGCAGTATCATCTGATGGTTCAACACTTGTCTAAGTTTTTGTGCAGCTTATTTTAACGGCACTCCTAATGCTGTTTCTGCAATTAGTTATAGGTTTTAAACAGTTTGGATGACTGGACAGGAGTTCACATCTTGATTATTTGATGCCGGTACTGCACAGAAAGCTAAATTGAACTGCAAGTTATTTAGCTCCCCTTCAGCTGAAGTCAGTGAATTCTGCTAGTATTTGGGGTGAAGTGGGAATACCTAATAAACTAGAGCATTGAAAGTAAAAATAAAAAAAAATGTTCCTCAGAGATATAGGATAGCAGGCAGAGAACTGGTTTCTGCATACTATACCTTTCCTGTATGAATGCAGCTGTAGCTTCTGTCTGCTTGAGATTTATGGTAGCATCAGACGTCCTGAGTAACATGAAGTGGCTTGCAGAAAAATTGGTTTGTTTCTCTCTCCTTCCTGCCCACTTGTAAGCTCCCTGCCTGAAACACTGGGTGCTTAAATTCTTGATTTAACCTCTGCACAACTACATGGGCAAATTGCAGCCCAACTTTAAGGTCAGCTAACTTTGCTACTAGTGCTTGTAGTCTGTGATTTGGGTTGGTTTAATTTCTGTTCCTGTGTGTTCCAAGTGTCACGCCAAATGAGAATTAGAGCTACTTACCTGGCTCCATTTGAAGGTTGTAAATGTGATTGCAATTAGCAATTTTATTGAAAGATTCTTATCAAATACCATTAATTTTCCTCATGGTGCTCTTTAAGTGTTCAAGCTGTCCAGAATGTATTTTGTGGCTTAAGTAGTGTTGTGTGACACTGCGCAACTGCAGCTGATAACAACAGGCAGATCTCAGGCAGTGTGTTAAGCAAGCATTTGCTGTGGAATTTGGCATCCTAGAGATTTAAAATGTTGGCTCTGTGACTTGAAACGCTCACAGGACATAAGGCTTTCATTTCTCTCCTATGCTTTGAGTGAACTTAGAAGGTTTTCTTTGAGAACCAAGTCTTATGCTGTTGGAATAGATGCAGATGGAGCATGTCACTTGTATTTCTTGAAGAAAATCTTTAAGAAAACGAAAAGAAATGTTAAAATGTTAATTCTTTAGAACACATAGTGAGACGCTGTTTCTTGATGTGCAACTTTTCTCCCCTTATTTGAATCTGGAAAAAACAAACAAAACAAAAAACCAAAGCCTGTGTGCAGTATCCTCCCATACATACAGATATAAAAGTGAAACAAAACAAACAAAAAAACCCCACCTTTTTTTATTTTGTTTCAGAAACATGCGAAGGGACAGGAGTTATTTGACCAGATTGTATATCATTTGGACCTTGTGGAAACTGATTACTTTGGCTTACAGTTCATGGATGCTTCCCAGGTTTCAGTAAGTATAACTTCAGTTAAATTTTATGTTCTACAGTAGTTTGCATTGTCTGTTATAAATGTGTTATCAGTGCTGTTTCACAGAGAGGTGTGTAGGCAGTGAGGGCTATACTGCTGAAACAACTGGTATCATCATGTTTGGGTCCTGCAAATAAAGTCTCAAAATAAGACATCATTTTGTGACATGTGCATGGCTTCTTCATGCTATGTATGAATATGCAATAATTGCAGGTAAAAGAAAATGTGCTGTGTTTAGTAGTCTCATGGTTTAAAAAATGGGTTATATTTCTCACAAGCAAGAATTTTGCACTACTCGTATCCTTGGTGTTCCAGGCACAGGTTATGTTGCTCTGCAGGTTTAGTTTCATTTACAATAGGAGAAAATAATTTTCCTTCTTCCCATACTTAGTGTCCTCCAGCATTTACAGGTAAAAGGAGGAAAGGGAGAATGGGGGAGTGGAAAATATAGTGTTTATAATGCAGAGAGATGTGGTTAAAGAACTTAAACCTTGTGGCTAAACTGTATTGCTATAATTTTTTTCTCTTTGCTCACTTCATGTGTGGAGATATTGTGTACGACTACAACCTGAGTTGTGAGTAGAGAGTATACACAGCTGGAAAATAAGTGTGCTTTTAAATCGTCTGATTATTATGTAGACATTTTTTCCATAATGCAAGAGAATAAAATCATTCTGTGATGTTGGAACAATATAATTGAATAACATAGCAGAAATAGTAATGTCTTGTGAGAAATTATTGTCATCTCATAATTCTTAGCTTTATTCTCTAACTTGAGAGTCAACGTGATTAGATCAGATCAGTGTTTTACCAACAGCTTTGTGATCTGTGTTAGCCAATGGCTTTAAATAAAAAATAACAATATTTGGACAGACTTGCTAATAATAATGAAATCAAGAAAGGAGATCTGTGCTTTTTGGGAAGAAAAAGCAAGTTCACATCACAGTTGATAGTTTAATATGTGTTCATGAAAAAACATATTGCATGAAACATATATTGTTTTATGATGGAAACGATCATTAGGATGCAGCTAAAAGAGCAGTGCCTGCACATTATAAGCAAAAGAGATGATATTGCAGTTGATGGTCAAAGCTCTGAATTGGGAACTTCATAGCTGAGAATGGTTACAAGTAGTTCAGTAACGTTTTGGAAGAAGGAAAGGAGAAAGGGAGAACTGAATATCCTTTCCTAGCAAGAAAGAGGGCAGACCAGAACCAGAAGACTTGGTTTAGGAACTGTAGAATGCTTATGTTCATGAACATTAGCAAAAAGGAAGGATTTTTCATCATGAATAGTAAGGAGAATGAAGCAGAAGTGTGAGCAAATGTAGTTTTCATAAATAGATGTATCGCTGGTGTTCAGAGCAAAATGTGTCTATGTTCTTGTGTTTTAGACCTTAGACCTTAGCTTTGCATGCTACTCCTTTCCTTAGTAGTATGGGTGGAGGCAAAAGTGTAAAAGTAAATCAGGACATATGCAGCTATAGAGGGACAGGGGCTATGAACAGCTTTTGGAGGGCATGAAATGTGCTGTTTGGAGAGCTTTGGTAGTAGGGTTATAGTTTTCTGGATCAGGGTGGGTATTAAGGGCAGACTTCATCTCCACAGGTGCAAGGCTGGAAGCTGTCATTTGTTTGGGGGTTCTGCCTGGCTGAAACTGAGCAGAGAGTAAAACTTAAAACTTTGTGCTTTGAATCCCTTTATCATCCCTAGCACTATGCGGAAAGAGATTCTATGCCTTTCATGGTCTATTTTGAACTTGTGACCTGCTCATTTCATTTGCATAACAATTAATGCAGAGCCTCCCTGCGCCTCTGTGTAGTGCCAGCCCTGCCACACAGTGGCAATTGCGGGACTGAGAGATTAAAGTTGCGTAAACTCCTTGAGGCTTTAAACCTTTGCCTTTTATTACATCTTTAAGCCACTATTATAAGTAAGAGAATACAGAATAGTCTTTGAGCAGCGGCAATTACTTCTGTGTTCCAAGGCTAACAGTTTTTCTGCGGTACGTTTCTTAGTAACTTTGCCAGAGTCAGATTAAGCAGTGTTAATAACTGGTTTGGAAAAGAAAATCATAATTAGAGCTTATCTGTTTATTGTTTGAACAGTTCATTCTTAATATAAAAGTAAAAGTCTTTGATATAACCAAAATGCCATAACGTTGGAGAAAGCAAGATGTTAGCAGTAAGACAGGAAATACTTATAAAGACTATCCAGTGAAATTTGCATTAATTTGTATCGTGTGTTGTTCGAAGATATCTATGAATAGAAGGATGTAGAGAATCACTCAATCTAAAGAGCTTTTAATAGGTTTATTCTAAAGCAGAGCTTTGCATATTGTTGCATTTAATTTATCTGGTACTTAATCCAGAAGCAGAAATACTAGGGGAGGACAGGTGTTGTTTTGATAGTGTGTGGAAAAACTTCATGTAGTGCAAAGTCCTTATTTGTAAGTGAGAATATTTAAAGCATAATGTAGATGTATTGTCTGATAATATCCACTACTTTGACTGATTTAGAGTTTATAGGTTGTAGTGAAGAGTAAAACTGCATTTTTACTGTGACTGTATTATTATTATAGCTTTGAACCAACTCTTTCCTACCAAACTCAGTAACAAAACTCCTGACCCTCAGTGTTCTGCAACAGTTCTAGTGGTCAGAAATGTGTTACTCGCTGTGCCTAAGATCCTCTATGACAGTGATCTCCAAATTGAGTTGCACAGGGGTTGTGCAAGATAATCCATTGGACTGCAGGAAGAAAATATCAGAAATTCTATTTATATATTTTTTTAACTGAATTAAAGCCTTTAGAATTTCTGACTTGGTATACAGCTAGGCACTGGAATACTCATTCTGTATGTTACACTGTTATGTCACATATTCATACTGTAGGCAAGGTGTCCTGAGAGAAGACTGGATATTCTACAACATGGAGGCTGTGACAGTGGCACTCCTGCTCATTTGTTCTCTTTCAGCGTATTGTTGTGAAGATGTTGAACAATATTGGACCTCCTAGGGTGCAGCAGTAGTTACTGGCCTCCAACTGGGCTTCATACAACAGATCACCACCACCTGATCATTGATCACCACCCTCCACAACTGGCCAATCAGTCAGTTTTCAATCCCGCCTCACAGTATGCTTTTCTGTTTATCCTGTTTGTGGAAAGGAGAGAAGAGAAAGGAAAAGTGAAGAAAGGAGACTGGAGTCAAAGAAACGATGGTTATCACTAGGCTCTCCGTATCTTTCTTGTTCAACTAATTGTAACAAGTAACAACTTATACAAGGAAGCAGTGCTCTGGATGATTCTCAGTCAAATGTAGGAGGTCTCTGAAATGGTTTAGTGGTGATGGAAAATTTGGGGTTTTTGGTTACTTTTACTGGGACATGTGGGATGTGTGTGTTATAGCAAAGCAGGAACACTTGAAAGCTTTTGTCGAGGCTGGAAATTGCAATAGTCAAATCTTGTGAGTCTACACTCCACAAGTTGAGTCGCCATGAGGAAGTAGTGTTTTTGGTTTTAGTTTGTTTGTTTGCTTTTTTTGGGAGGTGGGGGAGGAGCTGTTCTGTGTGAAGCATTCCATGGTTATTTGGGGTTCCTAACATTTACTTGAAATTGTTGGTAGCTAATGATTACTCATTTTTGTTCTTCTTTTATCTCTTACTCCAGATTATCATAAGAAAAAAAACTGTGGCTTGCTGCTTTCTGTGAGCTGCAACGTATTCTAAGATTCCATCAGGATATAGATCTCTCCTTCTATGTGGCATTCTTTGTCCTAGTTGTCTGTCCTGATAGCAGAACACGAATGCCATCCCAGTCTCTTGTTTTACATGAATTCCAAACAAAAAGATTGCCAATGTTGAATAGCTTGAAATTTCCTTTTGTTTACTTCATGATTGTTCCTGTTTATGAGAATGTTTATAGAGTAATTGAGAAGGAAAAAAAAATGATACATATCTGCTTTTTGTTTGTTATTTCCAAATGAGCTGCTGTAATCTTTCAGGTGTGACACATTAGCTGGGAATGGAAACAAAAAATACTAGTACTTTTTTTAAAATAAAAATAGAAAAGTCTCAGTGAACATCTAACTCCTTTATGCTATCTCTAATGTCGCAAAGGCTCCTCATCCCTAGTTTAAAGAAGGGCCCTGTGGAATAGTCTGTCACAGCTGGATACGTATATTGCACTCTGCAGACAGCTGCGCCATGTTGGATGTATGTGCACATGTAGTGTGAATGCATTGGGCGCATTGGGAAGTGCTGGATTTATGAAGTGGACAACATGACTTTTGTGCAAGGTCAGCCTAACAGGTGCTGGTGGCTACGATGGGGGACAGAGTTTCCTGAAGAGGTGAGAGGCAGGACTGTTCTGCAGTGAGTTGTCCTGATAAGGTGCATTTTTGTCTGACTTCTTAATATTGACCAGATCCTGAATAGGGTTTTGATTTATTTACAATGAAAACCGAGAAGACGATGGGAGAAAATGGAGAAGAGTGGTTTTTGTGAAAGCAGTATTCCAAGTAAGAAAATAGAAGGAATGTGAAACAGCAAGAACTACGTAGCCCTCAACTTCCATCATTAACTACACCCATCAACAATATATTGGAATCTCACTGACCAGGACATTGAGATCTTCATCTGTATGGAAGGTGCCCTTGTGTCCCAGTTTCTGAGAAGGTCAGGATCATATATGCTTTACCACATAGTTTTCCAACACTGCAGTGTAAAGTAATCAGGACAACAAAAAATAATATCCTAATGCTCTTCTCCGTACGCTATAAACTAGACTCATGGATATTTCAGTACCTATTGGCTCAGAGCCCTGCTATATCTGAATTTTCTTTTAAGGGTTTATTGTCATTCAAATCAGGAGTTTTTATCCAACTGCTTGCTTTTGATAGTACTACTGTTACTTTTTCTTAATTGTGTGAGGGATGTGGAAAAAAGAAAGACTCAAACTAGTCAATTAACCTCATATTGCGTTAT